ATTAAAACATTTCAAAACAGCTAAAACAATATAATTGATAAAATAGATTACCCATATATTGGTTTTTTTATTTTTGTTTTTATGATGGGGTTAGGTAGAGGTAAAAAAAGGAATCAGGTGGCGCTGTGGGCTAAACCGCAGAAGCCTGTGCTGCAGGGTCAGAAGACCAGCAGTTGTAAGATTGAATCCACATAACGGAGTGAGCTCCCGTCGCTTTGTCCCAGCTCCTCGCCAACCTAGCAGTTCGAAAGCATGTAAATGTGAGTAGATAAATAGGTACCATCTCGGTGGGAAGGTAAAACGGCGTTCCCTAGTCACGCTGGCCATGTGACAATGGAAAAATGTCTTCGGACAGGTGCTGGCTCTACGGCTTGAAAAGCGGGATGAGCAAAGCCCCCTAAAGTCGGACATGAATGAAAATGTCAAGGGGAACCTTTACCTTTACCTTAGGTAGAGGTCAAGATCGTTTTTCGTATTCTTTAAGCAGAGAGAAGGAATTTGGCCACTGATTCGGTGGTTATCTTGTTTGTGTCGCTTAATAAATGTTTTGTATACCAAATCAGAGTCCTACCTGGGAAGACATTCATTATAGGCTTGAGGAATTTGATACGCTCGTTGCTGTAAAAATTACACTCCAAAAGGACATACTTCAAAGTTTCAATTTCTCTATCCTTACAGGGGCACAATCTTTTTTCGTAAGGGGTGCCAGAGTATCACCCATCTAGAATTGCGGATTGGAGACAGTTAAATCGTGCTCTCTGTATTTGTATCCCAAAATACAGGTGCCTGTATTTTGGGATAATCAATTTCTCTAAATACCTAGCACTTTGGGAGAAATTATAGTTCAAGCCAAGGTGCAAGATGAAGCTCGTGTTGCGGGCCATTGAAGTGGAATATTGGAAGTCAATGTCCCTGATCTGCTTTTCTAAGATAGAGTTGGCTGCCTTGGGTTCCTGGGCATAAAGAAAGTCCAAAGAGAGCCCTAATAGATGCAGTTTGGCTGGAAAAGCTTTAAGCCATGAGCTGTTATGGACATCTTTCTGTAGAAGGTCAAGATATCCCATAGATGCATCAGCATGTATTACCGTGTTCCAAAATCTAAAACCAGAGAGCCACGCACTGCATTCTAGTTATGTTAGTCCAGTCTCTAATCGTAAGGCAGCTGGTTTCTCTTCGGATCACATAAATCTTTCGCCTTTTTCCTATTTTCAAAGAAAAGCTTCCTGTTCCCACACGGACTGTCTGTCTGTGTAGACCTTATATATGCATTTGCTTCATCTGCACACCGCTGATGAATTTATGTAGGGTGGGTGGTCGTGGTTGCTGTTGTAGATGTGTGGTTCATTTTTAATGCTGAAGCAGAAACTAAAATCATATGTTTTATCTACCCCCATGCTGTAGATTCTGGATTTTGTCCTTGTATCAAGAAGAGGCACTGAACATGCCAACTTGAAGGTCACAAATGCAGTCTGTGTTTAGCCACTTGTGTCAGTCTACTAGAGAGAGGGAGGGAGAGAGACAGGGAGGGAGAGAGATACAATTGCAAAGAAATTTCTTTTACAAGTGTTTCTATGCAAAAATACTTTTTCCTATTTCTATATGTGGCGCTTTGTTGAACCATCATTTCAACAAAAGGGAAGTTGCTTTTCCAAGAAGCTTACACTGAAAATTTGCAGGAGGGCTGGAAGAGGATATGCCAAAGTAAAAGGTGGAGAAGAATCTGAGCCTAACCCAATGCAATGAAAGTCCAAAGTACATCATCTTAGCTGCACCAACTGTTTATCCTCCAGAGGAAAGAGCAAACAGGCTGTTATGCTTCAGTTTACAGTGACAACATATTTCTCACAGCGGAGCTGGTCTTTGTTACCCATGAAGTTATTGGTGTAGAAATGCACCTTATCTTTACCCTCCATTTTCTTTTCCTCAGACCCATGCAGCAGGATAGGTGCCACCTCGCTGCCAGATCAGCACAATCACCTACAACCAGAGGCCTCTCTCCCTGGTGAGGAGAAAGGGTAAACCTCCCCCACCAGGTTTGTGACAAAACAAGGCATCTCTTTGCCCCCGGCATGTGTTCCTCTTGCTTCGGAATGGAAGGCAACTCTCCCACAGATTCGGGTCATCAAGCAGGCAACTTCAAGATGCCGCCCTTCTCCTTCTAGCTGTTCTAGTAGGGCTTTGAGGAACATGGATTCCCACCGATTGATGAAAGAAGCATAGCCTGCAAACACATGAGGGAAAAATAAATACTAAGGAGTCCTTCAAGGTGGTCAGTACCCAATAGACAGGGCCAAGCCATGTTGTTTCTTGAGGCAGAGCAACGAGCGGTGTGCCCAGATCATCCAACTCTAGATGCATAGTTCCCAAAGAAAACCAAATTGTTTTGGACCAGGACAGGGGTCAAAGTATCATGTAAGCATCTTTCCCCACTCCTGGCAGTAAAAATACAATAATCACAACAAGCGCGGCTCTTTTGTCGCCGCACAATGTTTGTTGCCTGAGGCCGCAGTGGCAGTGCTCTGTCTAATGATAAGACCAGCCCTTCCTATTCATTCCACTCTCCCTGCACGTGAATTTCACTGGGTCTGCTCTCTTTTAGACTAGCACTGCATATAGCCCAGCAATGATTCCACTCTACAAATAAGCATGCACATAGCATGATGCCAAATAAATTCATAGGTGGTAATTCCATCCAAACCTAGTTGGACACAGGGGTACAATTGGCTTCAAATTAAACATGCATGGGGTCAGTCCCTGTTAGATTTACTTACCAGGGCTACAAGCAAACATTACTGCAGTATTTTCGGGGATAGAGAGGTAGTGTGAGAAACAGTCAGTCTGCAGTTCCCCACTGTCTGTCTGGAGGTACACACCATGATCAATGTCCTCTCCACGGCAGGCCTTGGAGAAAGAGCAAGCGGAAAAGCTATTATTTAAGGGCCTCCCATGTGCTTCCAGAAACAGAGTCCTATCTAATATTTGAATGACATTTTTCTGCCCAAGAGAAGATTGCATTTCTCCACAATATATCTTCAAAAGCCTCTGGACTGGCAGTTCACTAGGCATGGGATTTTGAATTTGTTGGTTTTGTTGTGTTTGTTTGTTTTACTACAGCTACCAGCAGACAGCAGACGTTCCCCTGAGAAGTTCCTACCTAGAATTCTGGTAGTTTTAGCCAAAAAAGCTGAAGTTCTCAGAGGAGTTTCAGGATACACCTGTTCTTTGCCAAAGTTTTCTCTATAACATGGCCATTAAGCATGGGGAAGGACATGGGTGGAACTTTCTAAGCTTTGTGGGAACTGCAAAATATTAGAGGACTGATAGCATTTTGAGAGGCACCATCTACAGAACCTAATGAAGAGACAGACAACCATCCCCTATTGCTATGCAATTCCCATGGAATTTAGAGTGTCCCCCCATGTTCTTCTCCATGCTTAATGGACATAATGAAAAAAAATCAAAAATTCCTATACCTACAGTTGACTCTTACTTCTACACAGACAGTGGGAAGGGTTGTATGCTACCACCAGGAGATGTTGGGTGGCATACACGAGAATTGAGAGATGAGGTGGGATTTGAAAGCTGGGTTCCCCTAGCCTTTAGAACAGGTGAGCATTCTAGTTTATAGAGGACAGTCCTTGGTTTGAGGGCATCCTATTACGGAAGGGAAAATGGAATGGAGTATCTTAAAGAGTGAAAAACTAGAGCATTTCTCAATGCAACTCATTGCATTGCTCACCTGGTTTAAAAGACATGGCTTAAGACACCATGTCTTTTAAACCAGTGGTCTCCAACCTTTGGCCTCCAGAAGTTCTTGGACTTCAACTCCCAGAAATCCTGGCCAGCCAAGGTGGTGGTGAAGGCTTCTGGGAGTGGTAGTCCAAGAACATCTGGAGGCCCAAGGTTGGGGACCACTGTTTTAAACTATAGCATTTAGGCTAATGGGAACATGGTTTTTAGACATGGGTAGTACAGGGACAGTGGTGCTAATTTTTAGTTTCTCAGCTGGAATATATTTAATGTGCCTCTGCTTTCATTATTGAAAAGTTAAAGATTTTCCCCATCATTATCCATTACAGTATTCCCCATTATTATGCAGAACATCCATGCAAGACAAAACAAAAGAGACCCACCAAAATTATCTTTCCATAATTATTGGCACTATTTACACCAGCCATCCCCAGCTGGATTCCCAGAAGTCTTCCCTTGCCATGCTGGCTGGGGAGGATGGGAGTGCAGGTTACATGTCCAGTCTGGTTTACACACTGAAATAAATAGTATGCTGTTCCACATTTTACCTGTATGAAGAAGATTTTGGGTTTCCCTTTCAATTTATGACATCTTTGAGATGATAATGTCTGGTAAATCTGTGTCAGCTGAACTGGTTGACCTTCACAGTCAAATATACTTCCTTCCTGTCCATGACTGGAAATAATGCTTACAAAACAGTCCCCATGTTCTGCGTCACATTCTGTAAGGATACAGTATACAGAAGTACAGCATTACTATCCAAATATATACACTGCCTTTCCGTACAATATCAAAGGTGATTTATAATCAGGACTCAAATATCGATTTTAGGGCTCTGGAATCTATAGTCTCATAAAGTAAAATGGCTAAGCTCTTTTAAAGACAGTAGCAGAAAACCTGATGTTTAGAAGAGCAAGTTGCACTAGAGTAGCCCTATTGAATCAGTGGGGATTTGGTGAGTCAGCTCCTCTGTAAATTCTGTTGATTCAAATGGGCCTGCTCTAGTAACATTAGATTTAGCTTACTTATTTTACTTTAATATTATTTGCCTTTGCTTTCATCCTCCAGATGTTTTGGATTTCGACCGCAGGAAGCCTTGGACAGCTTGGCCAATATTTTTAAGGCTGAAGCCCAAAACGTACAGAGCAAAGCAAAGCAAAGCGTGCTGTTGATATACCGCCCCATAGCATTGAAGCGTAAAGCACTCTCTGGGCAGTTTACAGTTTAATTATGTAGGCTACGCATTGCCCCTCCCCTCAGTGATTACTCAATTTACTCAATTCACCAACCTCCGAAGTATGGAAGACTGAGTAAACCTTGAGCCGGCTACCTGGGATTGAACCCTGGATCATAAGCACAGTTTTGGCTGCAGTACAAAAGTTGAACCATTGTGCCACGAGGCTCCACAGATGGCCAAAGGCTGAGTGAGAGCCACAGAACCCTGATCAATGTGGATGAACAATGTGGGGTGCAATCTTTTAGAGAGATACCCATCTAAATTCTATTCACATATTTCCAGTAGAGTAGAACCTACCACTTCCTGTTCCACTTTTGGATCCTTCTTGTCACTAGGAAATTCCTTCCAATATTTAGCGAGAAATCTGCTTGTCTGCAGTCAGTGGCATAGTGTGGGGCCGATCGTTCCAGATCACAACTTTGTTATG